TTCACTGGTGGCGTGCATGCTTCCAAAGCTGCTTTCTTCATGACCCATGATGCTTTGCTGGGAATCTGGGGTTATATTATGAAATGGATGGAATTCACTTGGATGAAGGCGGGATTTCATCCAATCGCAATGACTTATTTCCAGGTTTGTATAATGTCCCAAAAAAAAATTACTTTTCAGGGCAAATGGCATCTCCACATGCACCCACAGCGTCATACAGGTCCTTTAAAGCTTTTGGTGATATTGTACATGACTTTTTGTATTTTCATGCTTTTAAATGTCTAAAATACAGATATTTTTCTGCTCCATTCTGCACTTGTTAGTTGTAATTACAGTGGTGTGAAAAACTATTTGCCCCCTTCCTGATTTCTTATTCTTTTGCATGTTTGTCACACAAAATGTTTCTGATCATCAAACACATTTAACCATTAGTCAAAGATAACACAAGTAAACACAAAATGCTGTTTTGAAATGACGGTTTTTATTATTTAGGGAGAGAACTAAATCCAAACCTACATTGCCCTGTGTGAAAAAGTAATTGCCCCCTGAACCCAATAACTGGTTGGGCCTCCCTTAGCAGCAATAACTGCAATCAAGCGTTTTCGATAACTTGCTATGAGTCTTTTACAGCGCTCTGGAGTAATGTTGGCCCACTCCTCTTTGCAGAATTGTTGTAATTCAGCTTTATTTGAGCGTTTACTAGCATGAACCACCTTTTTAAGGTCATGCCATAGCATCTCAATAGGATTCAGGTCAGGACTTTGACTAGACCACTCCAAAGTCTTCATTTTGTTGTTCTTCAGCCATTCAGAGGTGGATTTGCTGGTGTGTTTTGGGTCATTGTCCTGCTGCAGCACCCAAGATCGCTTCAGCTTTAAGCCGGGCGTACACTGTGCGACTTTTTCACTCGTAGCACTCAGCTTCAGCTCAAGCTGTACGACTTCCTCGCAGGGCAGATCTCACGAGTCATGCCCTCACACTGTGCGACCCAGTTCTCGGATGCGATCTGACTGCTCACACTGTACGTCTGGTAGCAACACGTCGGCCCTAAAAAATATGCTAAAAATAGCAGTTTTTACTCAACACGTCAGACTTTTTTGTTTTGCCTGTCGTCCTTCGGGAGTGCTGCAGGGGGACACACAGGGATTTACGCGGGTTGGATGAGGAAAACGAAATAAAGAAAGTAAATCTGTGCTTTGTGATCAGTTTAATTTGACATGAACACGACAAACACGCTTTCTTGACAATCTTTGTGAGTAAAAAAAAAAACGTGTAGAAACAAAAACAAACAGCGTGTCATTAGGGAAATAGCGGGCGAGCGGTGTTGATGCAGGATTGCGCATGCACCGTGAGCGGTTCTGATACTTTTTGGGTCGCAGCTGCTCGCAGCGCCGCTTCAACAGTGCGATACCCTCACGAGGGACGAGCAAAATATCAAACACTCCAGAAGTTTGTGCGAGCTCACGATGGCTGATCGGTAGCTGGTCACGTGGTGTTAATCGCCTCTCGCAACCCCCTGTACACTACACGACGCTCGGCACAAAACTCGCCGTGGATTCTCCCACGAGTGGAAAATCGGCTCAAGAAAGTGAAAAAGTTGCACAGTGTACGCCCGGCTTTAGTTGACGAACAGATGGCCGGACATTCTCCTTCAGGATGTTTTGGTAGACAGTAGAATTCATGGTTCCATTTATCACAGCAAGCCTGCCAGTTCCTGAAGCAGCAAAACAACCCCAGACCATCACACTACCACCACCATGTTTTACTTTTGGTATGATGTTCTTTGTCCGAAATGCTGTGTTGCTTCTACGCCAGATGTAACGGGACATTTGCCTTCCAAAAAGTCAAACTTTTGTCTCATCAATCCACAAGGTATTTTCCCAAAAGTCTGGGCAATCAATGAGATGTTTCTTAGCTAAAGTAAGATGAGCCCTAATGTTCTTTATGCTTAACAGTGGTTTGTGTCTTGGAAATCTGCCATGCAGGCCATATTTGCCCAGTCTCTTTCTGATGGTGGAGTCGTGAACACTGACCTTAATTGAGGCACTTGAGGCTTGCAGTTCTTTAGAAGTTGTCCTGGGGTCTTTTGTGACCTCTTGGATGAGTTGTCTCTGCGCTCTTGGGGTAATTTTGGTCGGCCGCCCACTCCTGGGAAGGTTCACCATTGTTCCATGTTGTTGCCATTTGTGGCTAATGGCTCTCACTGTGGTTCGCCGGAGTCCCAAAGCTTTAGAAATGCCTTTATAACCTTTACCAGCCTGATAGATCTCAGTTACTTTTGTTCTCATTTGTTCTTGAATTTCTTTGGATCTTGGCATGATGCCTAGCTTCTGAGGTGCTTTTGGTCTACTTCTCTGTGTCAGGCAGCTCATATTTAAGTGATTTCTTGATTGAAACAGGAGTGGCAGTAATCAGGCTTGGGGGTGGCTACAGAAATTGAACTCAGGTGTGAAACACCACAGCTGGGTTATTTATTTATTTATTTTTACCGTGTCCTGTCTGGCTGTGAAGCAAGCAGAATTGATGTCTGAATGCTGGTAACAAACCTTACAGATTTACTCTCAGGTGGAGCATCAAAGCGTCTGCTTTTAATGTCACGCCTGATACTTAAAACTTTATTGTTATTGTTGTTGAATGCTTTGTAATTCCGACCAGACACGGAGACAGAGGTGAAAGAGAAAGGAAAAGAAAAGGTGGGGAGAGGGGAGGGGGGGGGGGGGGGGGGGCAGAAAAATAAACAATGAACAAGAGTCTGCTTCTAGACCTGCAGAAAAAAAAACAAAAAAAAGCAAAAGGACAAAAAAAAGGGACACAACAACAATACAACAAGATCTAGCTATCACTGCGTCAACTTGATGAAAAAATATACTATCAACATTGCTTAACTGCAGAATCACGATAATAAATCACAGTGCATTAAGTGCCCACAATAGTCTTAAGACCTGTGTTTAACGTACCCAAGCCCTTACTTTTGAGAGCACCATGTGAGCACCTGTGTGTGTACACGCGCTTGTTTATGTAAGGTTTCTCTATAGGAGCGTCCAACAGAGAGTGTGAGAGACCACAGATCCGCCCCCCCAAAGATGCGCAGGAGACGGGGGGAGCTCCAAGTCCCAGAGATCCAGGTGCTGCCCCAGAACACAGGAACCCCAAGGAGACTGCAACCAGAAAGGCCCCCGCCCCCCTCGAGAGGCACAGAGGATCGCCCCGGGGGGCCACAACCAGCAGCCGGCAGAGTCCCGGGAGATATCAGCAGCAAGCCCGCAGGCCCGCCCGCAGCCTCCCACCCCCTAGCCAGCCGAGCCCGGGACCCAGCGACCTGGGACCCAGCAGAGCCCAGGGACCCAGACCCCACCAGGCAGTCACCGGGATCGATCAGGCAGATGCCAAAATCTTAAACCCCCCTGACCCGGGAGCCACGAACACTCAGGCAGACCAAGGCACAACCCCTCACACCAGGTGTGGCAGGGGGAGGGGGGACGAAGATCTATATCATCAAGAGAAGTTCCAGGAGAGGGGAGGAGTCAAAGGCCCCACCTGACATATACAGTCATACACAAACACAGTCACACACTCCCTCCCTCATGCTCACACATGCACATACAACCCAAGACTTACAAAAATGCACGCCGGACACCCACTCATGCTCCCCATACACACCCTATTCACTCTGGTCCCGGTACTGCTGCACATGGGGTACAACCATCACCGGTTACCAGAGTTTGACCCTTTCTGCTGGGGTGCTGATGAGCAGGCTCCCCCGCCCAACGCTAAGCACAGCAACCTACCACCCCAGACCCCAACCAGACGGCCAGATCTCCCTCCTAGCCTCCAGCCCCAGGAAGCCAAGCAACAACAGAGGTGGCTAAGACCCCTAGTCTCCCTCTGCCTGCTCCAATATAGTGTTGTGTGATCATGAGGTGTATTCCATGGCTGTGGTGAGTGGGCAGTGCGGGCATCATCCGGCCTATGCCAGCTGATGCCACCGCACCACCCCACTTACACCCTCAGCCATCAGTGTCTAAGTGCGGTTTAAAATTGGAAGTGGGCACCGGTACCCAGGAGGAGGCTGAGATATCTCCTTGCCAAATGCTGTTGAATGTGCTCACTCCCAAGGCCCTAAGTGTGTGTTTGTGTGGAATGTCGTCAGTGGAAGTGTATGAGGTGCAAATAAAATTGGGGGGCAGGTTGCCACAGGAATGCAGAAATGGGGTCCATACCCGCACTGCCTGACTTGCCCACCCCCCAAGGTCCTATGTGTATGTTTGTGTGATGATGTGAGGGAGCAGGAGGAGAGAAATATGCGGGGATGGGGATGAATGGCTGGTTGGGCTTAGCCCTCCAGGGAGCCAGCTCCCCTACTGGCCCCAATAGGCACCTCCGTTGTCAAACTGCCACCCAGGGCATGGAGACCCCAGCCCATCATGCCAGGGCCCAAAGCAGCAGCATTACAAAGCCCTACGGAGTCCGAGGGCACCAACCCAGCCCCACCCCAGCATTTGCATATCTATGCCCATCCCTGCATTTGCACAACTTCCAGAATATATAAGACATGGGACATCCAGGTAAGGTTGGGTCCTCCCCCTCCTGGACCTCCCCCTCCCCTGTGATGGAACGGCAGAGGAGCCAAGGTCTACCTGAGGCCCCTGAACCCGGGCCAGGCACTGCTGCGTGTTCCTGCCTTCTTCCCGACAGCATACATGTCAGGACCCGACCCCCAAGGCCCTGCCCAGATCCCCACACGGGGCCGGCCACCCCCAAACCCCGAGCCCCCAGGCCCCCACCCAGACCCGCCCAGGGGTATTGCAGCCGCCAGGCAGTGACCCATGGCCGCCGCCAAGACCCCCAAGGGGCCCCACTCACAACCGCCAGTAGTCCACCCCCCGAGGCAACCCAAGCACCTCCAGAGGGGGGCAACGGCCCCCCCAGTCCCAGACACCCCCAGTGAACCCACCTCCAGGGAACATCCGGATACTCCAAACTCCCCCCCCCCCCCCCCCCCCACACACACACACACCATCCCGCAGGACAACATCAACGGCCCCCCACCCTCGCTATGTAATGGAACCGATCAAAGGAGCCCAGAGAGATTCATCTGAAGTGGAAGCAGAGGCTATATCAAGTGCAATATGATCTAACAAAAGATTTCTTTACTGGTTAATGTAGAGAGTTTCTCTATTTTCCAATTCAAGAGGATAGTTTTCTTAGCGATGCATATGGCAGTCAGAACCACATGAACCACAGATGTTTCAATCGGGACATCGTCCAGGTTTCCCAGTAGACAAAGGGAGGGGGTGGTTGGGATTTGACATTTCAGAGACTTTGACAGATCTTCACATACTCTACCCCAAAATTCCTGGACAGGTGGACAGGACCACAGTGCATGAATGTAATTGTCAGGAATGTTGTTTGTGCAGTGTGTACAGGTGTCAGACGACACAAACCCCATCTTGAACATCCGATGACCTGTATAGTGTACTCTGTGTAGAATTTTGTACTGGATTAATTGTAAATTGGGGTGTCTGATCATTTTAAAAGTTTTTAAACAAGTTTGGGACCAGAAGTTCTGGTCAAAGCTGACTGATAAATCCACCTCCCATTTTTCAATAGGGATTACTATTCTATCATCTATTTTGGACAGTGTCTTATATACTTTAGACAGTAGTTTGGGGGGTTTGAGATTATAGAAGTCTAATACCCTTGGTGGTGTTTGTAATTCTATTTTATTGAGCTTAAATTTTTGTTTGACTACAGATTTAATTTGGTGATATTCTAAAAAGCTATTCTTATCCATTCCAAATTGGGAGACTATTCTATTAAATGGGATGAATTCCAATCCTTCATATATGTGTTCCAGGTATAGGATTCCTTTATTTTTCCAGTCCGGAAGGTTCATCATTTAATTATTTTGCAAAATATCAGGATTATTCCAGATAGGTGTGCGTCTGCATGGTACTAGTGAAGACTCGGTCATTTTAAGATACTCCCACCATGCTGTCAGAGAGGTGCTGATACTAATACTTTTGAAGCCTTCATGTTTTCTTATGCTTGATCTAATAAATGGTAAGTCTGAAAGCTCTATCGTATTGCAAAGTGTCTGTTCTATATCTAACCAGGACTCATCTAGTGGGTTATCTTGCAACCATCTTGGTATATATTGCAGCCTGTTGGCCAAGAAATAATAATAAAAGTTAGGTAGATCCAGTCCTCCTCTGTCTTCGGTTTTCTGAAGCATTTTTAAGCTAATTCGTGGTTTATCCTGCCAAAGGAATTTGGTAATTGAGGAGTCCAGAGATTTAAACCAGTCAGCTGGTGGTTTGTTTGGTATCATTGAAAATAAGTAATTTATTCTGGGTAAGACCATCATTTTAATGGTAGCAACTCTGCCCATGAGTGATATTGGTAAGGATTTCCATCTTGCAAGATCAGCTTCCACTTTCTTTAAAAGTGGGATGTAGTTTAGTTTGGTTAGATCTGCTAACTTGGGAGAGACATTAATTCCCAGGTATGTGATATTCCCTGACTCCAATTGTGTATTAATTAAATTGACAAAAGAGAAATTAATTGGTACAACTGTGGATTTTAACCAGTTTATAGAGTAATCTGAAACTTTTGAAAAAAGAGTTTATCAGTTCTATTGAATGAGAGAGAGACGATTGAGAATTCTGGAGAAAGAGTAAAACATCATCTGCATAAAGACTGATCTTATGTTCTATTTTCTTACACTTTATCCGTTTAATATCTGTTGTTTGTCTAATTGCTGCCGCTAGTGGTTCGATAACAATAGCAAACAGTGAGGAGGACAGTGGGCATCCCTGCCTGGTCCCCCTCTGAAGACAGAAGCTAGCTGATATTTGCTCGTTCATCCTGACACGTGCAGTTGGCGAACTGTATAATGTTTGTAGCCAGTTTATGAAGAAGTTCCCAAAGCCATATTTATGTAAAGTTGCAAATAAGAACTTCCAGTTAACTCTATCAAAGGCCTTTTCTGCATCTAAAGATAATATACTAGTTTCTATGTTTCTACTGTAAGAGAAATCTATAAAATTAAGTAATCTACGTGAGTTTGTGGATGACTGTCTACCCTTAATGAAACCAATTTGGTCAGGGTGTATTATGAAGGGGGTTACCTTTTCTAATCTTTTTGCCAGGGCTTTACAAATTATTTTGAGATCAACATTAATAAGGGAAATTGGGCGATAGCTGGTAGGAAATGCAGGGTCTTTGCCTGGTTTTAACAAGAGACTAATATTGGCTGAGTTCATGTTTGGCTGTAATCTGCCGCTCTCTTCGATTTCCCTCACCATTCTGAAAAATATTGGAGCCAGAATCATCCAGAATTCTTTGTAGAACTCTACTGGGAACCCGTATGGGCCTGGAGCTTTCCTATTCGTCATGGATTTAAGGGCTCCCTGGAGCTCCGCTGATGTTAGTGGCGAGTCCAGGACTGTAACTTGGCTGTCTGATAATTTAGGAAGTGTTATCCTGTCAAGGAACTCATCGATCTCATGATCTGAAGGGTTTATCCGTGGTGAGTACAAAGTTTGGTAAAAGTCTCTGAAAGTGTTGTTTATGCTTTCAGGGTCATAAACTATATTCCCGGTTGAGTCTTTAACAGCAGATATGGTAGTTTTCTCTTTATTTATTTTTAATTGGCTAGCCAAAAATTTACCTGATTTATTACTATGTTCAAAGTTTTCTATTCGTAGTCTTCGTGCTACAAATGGTGTCTTTTTGTCAATAATTCCATGAAGTTCTAATTTAGCTTTACGTAATTTGCTCATTAACTCTTCTTCAGTGGATGCCTCTAAAGACTTAATGATTTCTTCTAACTCCTGAATACGTTTGTTTTCCGTTTTTTTCTTATGTGATGAGAAAGAGATTATTTTACCTCTCATCACTGCCTTTCCTGCCTCCCAGAGAATAGATGCTGATATTCCAGGCAGGTCATTATGTTCTAAATATAAAGCCCATTCCTTTAAAAAAAAATCTATAAAACCTTCATCTTTGAGCAGTGATGTATTTAACCTCCAGTTTTTGCTTGGTGGGATTGTCTTCTTTTTTGCCAGAGTTAAAGAAACCGGAGCATGGTCACTGACAACTATGGGGTGTATCTCAGTGTCTGAAATGTCAGCCAACAATGAGCTGCTGACTAGAAAATAATCCAAACGTGAATGAGAGTGCTGGACGTGTGAGAAAAAAGTATACTCTCTACGGTTAGGATGAAGAGATCGCCATGCATCACAAAGCCCATAATCACTCATGTACTGTTTAACTATATTAGTGGATTGCCAATTGCGCTGAGTCCCAGCTGTACTGAGCCTGTCTGTTAAGGAATTCATCCAAAAATTAAAATCACCTCCAAGTATAAGTGGACAGTCCAAGTGTTCGGAGAGTACAGAGAAAAAATTATGAAAGAATGGAGGGTCATCAATATTTGGACAGTAAATGCTGACAATACATAAGCTTTGGTTCTGTACAGATATTTTTAACATTATAAATCTGCCCTCTGGATCAGAGACTGTGTCCAATACTGTGAAATTGATGTTTTTGTGTATTAAAATAGCTACACCTCTTTGCCTAGAGTTATAGCTGTCATGATCCGCCCCAGCCTCCCTGACTGTGTCTCTCCTGCCCTGATTAGCCTAATTGTTCTCACCTGTCCCTGATTACTCTGCCCATGTGTTCCTGATTCCCTTGTGTATTTATACCTCCCTCCTTGTTGCCTTCTTTGTCGGTTCATTGTCGTTTGTGCATGTTCGTTCGTCCTGTTGTTCCCAGTCTACAATTAAACATCTTTTTATTTTTTCATCCGTCTGCCTGATCTTCTGCCTCCTGAAACCCACCACCACACATGGTCTGCCATCTCCACCCGCAGAACATGACAGAATGAACCGACCAAACCTGGACCTATGGTGAGCTAACACCTGCTTCTGGAGGATTATTTTTTCTTTTTTTTCCCTTTCAGCAGAGGGTGATTTCTGGCCTGGAGTTTTGTGTTCGGCGCATCCTACCTGTTCTCGGGGTGGTCGAAGTCCTCTGGGAGATCCTGGCGCATCCCACTTTGTCTTCAGGGTGGTCAGGGTCATTCACCTCCTGCTGTTTTTGCCCCGTCCCGTTCTTCTCCTGGAAGCCGCGGATCCTGGAGCCTCAAGGGAATTACACCCCCTACGCACGCCATTGTCCTCCGGTGTGGTAGGGCTGGTCTCCCCGCTCTTCTCTGGCTTCTCTTCACCCGAGCCTCCGCCGATGGACCCAGCAGATCGGGATGTGCACCTGCTCTGATTGGATGTCGAGTACCTGCCGCCGAGCTGGGCTTCCAAGTGTCGCTCCCGCTGCTCAACCATTTCCTGGTCCACGCCTGCAGGTTCTGTGCCTGCAGGTTCTCCACGCGGCAGTTCCTGCTGGGTCCCACGCCTGCTGCTGCAGTTTGTCTCAGTGTTCCTGGTGTCCAGTGTTCCTGGTGTCAAGTGTTCGTGTCTCAAGTAAAGGTGTCAAGTCAAGTCTTCGTGTCTCAAGTCCAGTCAAGTCTTCGTGAGTCAAGTCAAGTCTTCGTGACTCAAGTCAAGTCAAGTCTTCGTGTCTCAAGTCTTCGTGAGTCAAGTCTTGAGTCAAGTCTTGAGTCAAGTCAAGTCTTTGTGAGTCAGGTCAAGTCTTTGTGAGTCAAGTCAAGTCTTTGTGAGTCAAGTCAAGTCTTCGTGAGTCAAGTCAAGTCTTCGTGAGTCAAGTCAAGTCTTTGTGAGTCAAGTCAAGTCTTTGTGAGTCAAGTCAAGTCTTCGTGAGTCAAGTCAAGTCTTCGTGAGTCCAAGTCAAGTCTTTGTGAGTCCAAGTCAAGTCTTCGTGAGTCCAAGTCAAGTCTTCGTGAGTCCCAGTCAAGTGTTCGAGTCCCAGTCAAGTGTTTGAGTCCCAGTCAAGTGTTTGAGTCCCAGTCAAGTCTTTGAGTCCCTGTGCCAAGTCTTTGAGTCCCTGTGCCAAGTCTTTGAGTCCCTGTGCCAAGTCTTTGAGTCCCTGTTCCAAGTCTTCGAGTCCGAGTTTCCCAGTCTGAGCTCAAGAGACCCTTTGTAAGACGGAGTGCCGCCTGATCTGAGAGGCCCCTGCTCCGCGTCCCTGGTCTGAGTTCGTGGAAACGTCTCATAAGACGGAGTGCCGCCTGATCTTAGAGGCCCCTGCTCCGCAGCCCCGGACTGTGTTTGTTCCCTGGTCTCGTCTTCTGTGTTCCCTGGTCATGTGTGCCCTAGTCTGGTCTTCGTTCGTCCCTGTGTCTCCTGTGCTCTGTGGCTTATGGGCGTCTGGTATCTGCCCCTTAAGGGGGGGGGGGGGGGGGGGGTACTGTCATGATCCGCCCCGGCCTCCCTGACTGTGTCTCTCCTGCCCTGATTAGCCTAACTGTTCTCACCTGTCCCTGATTACTCTGCCCATGTGTTCCTGATTCCCTTGTGTATTTATACCTCCCTCCTTGTTGCTTTGTCGGTTCATTGTCGTTTGTGCATGTTCGTTCGTCCTGTTGTTCCCAGTCTACAATTAAACATCTTTTTATTTTTTCATCCGTCTGCCTGATCTTCTGCCTCCTGAAACCCACCACCACACATGGTCTGCCTTCTCCACCCACAGAACATGACAATAGCAGGCAGAGAACATGCTGGGAAACTCAGGTGTTTTAAGTTCATCTGCGGATGTGGTAGATCTATGAGTCTCTTGTAATAATATTACGTCTGCTTGCACTCTCTTTAGCTGATCAAAAATCTTTAATCTTTTCTCTATGGAGCCAGCTCCATGTACGTTCCATGAGACAAATCTTAGTGCACCCATAGATGTGTGTGTGAGTAGCTAAAATAAGACGCCTTCATGTGTATAAGATGGAATAAGTATCTAAATGAATAAAATAGTATGTTAATAACAGAAAAGTAAATAATAATAATACTAATAATAAAGATCCAACAGTGTTTGTGGTTGTATTATTTGATGCATAAATTATGATATTGTGCTGTGAATTTAATTTATCTGAGTGTGTGTGTGTGTGCGTGTGTGCGTGTCTGACACAGTGTTGGAAAGTTGTGTGGTTGTGCCGTACAGGTGTAAAGGTGCAGAAGCAGGTAAAGAGGAAGGGAAAATACAGATACAGGTTAAAGAAAAAAGAAAAGGTGGTGATGAACAGGTGATCTTATCATCTAGAAAACGGATTTAGCAGCTGTTTAATCCTGACGTGATCAAACCCAGTGAATCCTGATAAGAATGATAAATGTCTGACCTGATGTTGGGCTAATACAGCCAGTCAGTCACTCCTCGCTCCTTGTAAAGTTTATTGTCCACATAAAGCTTATCCACCGAGATGACAGCTCTCTTCCCATCCTGGATAAACTTTTTGCGCAGCGGAAAGAGGACCCAGCGCCGATCCAGAATTTCCTTAGGGAACTGATCATTTACGCTGAAATCTTTCCCTTTGAGCTCTCTTCCGTGACTTTTAACAAGATTCTTCTGCAGAGGCGGTTTTACCATTAGGCATAGGTAGGCGGCCGCATGGGGCCCCCTTGTGTTGGGGGGCCCCCTAGCCCTGACCGCCAGCACCCCTCTGTTAATGCCACAATATTCTTATTACCAACCTGTGGCCGCAGACGGGATTGGACATGCGCACTTCTCATTACCATAATTCCTGAACCGTTCAAGATATCATTAAAATTCCAAAAGTGCTGAAAAGACTAAAAATGGGGCTTTTCGTGCATATACAATACATTACGGTAGCCACCGGGATTCTCTGTCTTGAGCGCACTGAATCACAACAAAGATTGAGAGACGTGCTGAGTTTGTCATCCAAAATGCTCCGTTTCATAACTTTTGAATGGCTCATCAGATCCAGGAAATTCCAACGGTTCCTAAAAGTACATAAAAGCAGCTTTCCAATGATCTATAGCATGAAGCAATCAGAGTTATGGAAATATCGTTACGAGGGGAAATCCTGCTGTACAGCCTGATTGAAACGGAGCGCAGCGCCGCAGTGAAAGCGGATAACGGAACGGGGAAGCTAATTAGCATAAAAACCAGCATGAAATTATGGAAATGCCTCAAAGAAAATCAACACGATCTATTAGGTGTCCCAGAAGGCTTATATCTGAAGACAGTGACCACGAAGAAGGACAGATCTCCGGTGAACCAGGATATGAACGTTTGTTCAGTCTTTATTTTTTATTTTTTTATTTTAACAACCCTCAACTATTTGCTGATTGTAAGATTCAGCATCATTCCAGCATTATTTATCTTTTTACAATAAATAATTATTTTTGCTAAAGCAAAAGTTTTTGGTATAGCAGCACAGTGTGCCAGAGAAGCACCCCATGGCGGTGTGAGGTGTGCAGGACTCTGCCTGCAGCTGGAGAGAAGCTGCTTCAAGGTCTACCACATCAAATAAAAACGTCTGAAAGTTTACAAAAATAAATGGTCTTAAAAACTGCTACAAGACACCAAGGTTCACACTTTTTTAAGAATAGATGCATTTCAGTTCAAAGTTTAAATTGTTTGCCCAGTCATTTTGAAGTTCCTGTTCAGTAATAACTGTAAAAAATTCAAATCCGTTTTTTGCTTTTTTCAATTTTAAGCTGATTTTTTAAAGGCTGTAATAGAAATACATTCTAAATAGAAGAAGAAGAAGAAGAAGAAGAAGAAGATATCATTTCTATAGCGCCTGTCAAGATAAAAATCACGAGGCGCTTCACAAAAACAAAAAATGTAAATATAAAAAAGCATTCAGAAAATGTTTAAAAATATATTTAAAATGAGCAAATATAGACAATTGTGATTTAAAAAAATGTAAAGAAAGAGAGAGAGTGAATAGGAAAGAGGGAAACCAGTGGATCCTGAGGAAGGTGGAATAGGTGGGGAGAGCAGAATAAAGAGAGAGAGGTGAAGAAGGTCATACAAAAGCCAGCTTGAACAAGTGAGTCTTCAGCTGCTTTTTAAAGGAGACCACTGAGTCCACTGATCTCAGGCTCAGGGGGAGAGAGGTCCAGAGTCTGGGGGCCACAGCAGCAAATGATCTGTCACCTTTGGTCTTTAGCCTGGTGCTGCAAAACCAGTAGGCTTTGATCACTGGACCTCAGGGACCTGCTGGGGGTGTAGGGACTAAGAAGATCACCAATGTAAGATGGTGCTTGTCCATTTAAGGCCCTATAGACCAGAACCAGGGTTAAGAAATGAATCCTAAAGTTGACTGGCAGCCAGTGAAGCTGGAGGAGAAGTGGCTTCACGTTTCTTTTCGTGAAATGTTATAGTGGTTTGGAAATACAAACCATACACTGAAAGCTGAGGTTGTTCTGAAAAAAGGAGAAGAGTTAAGCCTGGTTTATGCTTCTCCGTCTGCGTCAGTGCGGAGACACGCAACGCCATTATCCGTCCTTGCGTAGGGCTCCGGCAGGCATGCAAGTACGTACGGAGTCGATCCCACTTTTTTAAACATCCGTCGAATGAGACGGATTACGCAGGCTTGTGATTGGTCAGGACGCCGCTGTTTCTTACAGCGCCGCCATTGCAAAGAGAGCCGAGGATAACTAGCGGCAGACACGGAGAAGCTTGAAGACTACCTCGCGAAAAAACTCTAAAAATATGAACGTTTCATCCTCCCGTGACTGGAGGAGTGAAAAGATGCGCAGCAAGTGTTTTATTTGTGGACGGAAATGACAGGAAACGTGGGTTTAGAGGTGGGGAGCGCATGAAGCGGTGGGAGAATGAGAGACAAATATGTCCGTGTTAAAAGTCTCTCATATACACAAAAACACAATATAAACACACCATCTTGGACCGATACATGACAGGATACCACAGAACAGCGCTACGCCCTCTGTTGTCCTGCCGGGGAATTGCTTTGCAACACTCTCCAGGAGACGGAGAAGTAAAAGAGCAAAACGCTTCCGTCAATCCGTGCGTGTCTGTCCCTTGCGGAGCTGACGGAGAAGCATAAACCAGGCTTTACACACACTTTGCACTTTTTATTACAATTTTACAGCCATAAGATTAAAAAAAAATACCAGGCGGCCCTGTTATAATTATGGTCATAAGAGGGTTATTAAGACTGCGATGCACAAACAGGAAGTGATTGGTAGTCATTCCACTCCAATCCAGTTGGTGGCAGTAATGCACCAAATTGTTGTTTGCCAAGTGCCATAAGACCACAAATAAGAATAAGAAGAGAGGCGGGAGCATTCGTAACAAACTCAAAGCGATAGTCAAAACATCAAGCATGACATGAAGTTATCCTAGTCGATTCATAAAAGCTTTTATCTTCACTTCTGAAAGTGACGTTGTTTTTCGATGTAAACATCAAAAGGAAGCAGAAAGGAAAGACAATGGAAAATGTTTAAAGGGAGGAAAACAGACCAAAATGGAAAATAGAAAAAAAATAACTAAGGCTGAAGCACAGGAGCGCTGACAGAAAAAAGAAAGCAGAGCAAATATTGAAAGCACTCAAAGGGCGGGAAATACAGGAAAAAAAGAGGAGGACTAATAAAAAGGGAAAATAACTCATGTCAGAAGAGGGGAGAGTTTCGCAAATCCAGTTAAAGGTAAGATTGTCAAAAATTTAGTGTAAGGGGCCCCATGTCTGTGTTCGCCTTGGGCCCCCAAATTGCTAAATCCGCCCCTGTTCTTCTGCTTAAAATGTTCAAATTTAGCCATGATGGGACGAGGTCTTCTGCTGTCTCCTCTTTTAGCCCCAAGGCGATGTACCCGGTGAAAGGTGATGTTTTTGTCTGTTTATGGGTTATTTTTTAACAAGGGGGCAATTACTTTTTCACACAGGGCAATGTAGGTTTGGATTTTGTTCTCTCCCTAAATAATAAAAACCATCACTTCAAAACTGCATTTTGTGTTTACTAGTGTTATCTTTGACTAATGGTTAAATGTGTTTGATGATCAGAAACATTTTGTGTGACAAACATGCAAAAGAATAAGAAATCAGGAAGGGGCAAATCGTTTTTCACGCCATTGTATATATGTGTTAATATATTCCGTTTTATGCAATAATAACTCATTTTAAATGAATAAACTGTATAACATGGGTGTGATCAGTGGCTGAGAAAGTAAAATATCAAATTTCAGCATTAAAAGCAGTATTATCTAAGGCCCAAAGTACACAACTGCTTGAGAAAATATTATTAATAAAACGAGGAGAAATAATATTTCAGCTTGGATGCAAAACAAAATCCACAGTATGTGCCATGAAATTAATCTGTGAGCTACATTTGCTCAAGGAAATAAGGGCATGAAGCGCTTGTTAAAATACAAACATGCTAATTATTCATTGAAACAGTTGCTAAGATACCAAATTACCAAATTTCACCTTGTTATATAAATTTCTAAATGTATTGTGAATTTAATGATGCCTCGAAGAAAGTTTAATAATCACTCAAGATAATATGAGAATTAAATGTCTCAGGTTACAGTTGAGATTGTATGTTTAAACAGAAAAAAATGTTTTTTTTTAATTCTCAGTAATATGAAGGCAGATAAATGTATAAATGATCACAAAGTAACTGGAAAGTGAAACATAATTGAGCTCATTTGCAAAAGAATAATGAAAAATAAAGACCAATTGTCAGTTTTATGAGAATTGTAATATAAAAAACACTAAAATCAATATTAAGTGCTAATTAATGTTGTTAATAAATGCTTTTTTCATTTTATTTTTAAATTTAATTTTATTTCTGTGATGTTCAGCTTAATTATCCTATAGTCACGGCAGAAAGGATTTGCAGAATAAGCTTTGCAGGCTCTGATATTTGTGGGTGAGGGTGTTTCACTTTAAACGTGCCTGTTTTTATTTAATCTTCCTGTGTAGTTAATATGGTCAGACGGAGCAGAAGCACAAGGTACCTCCCTCATAGGGTTATGACAAGATGCCAGAATCGACTGACTTAGCCCTATCAGTCCAAAGCGGCGCTCTGCAGAGGCAGTCATCTTTGATGTTCATATTTTTCCAAAGGATGGAGCGGTGCTGCAAGTATTAAATTGTCAAAACATGCGTATGTGTGTATGCGCAGGAACGTAAACATGCTCAAAAGGATTTAAGTACAAACGGGAAGGCAGGGAGGCTAATACATCCATGTAGCACAACCCTGAAAGAAAATGTGAGCATTTTCTTTCCTCTTTCTTCCTCCTCACTTTTAAGAAGCGGGGCAGCGTTAGTCACAACAGCACATTCTGGCGGGGGCTCGGATTAGTTTCAACTTGTCACAGAATCCTGTTTTGTGGTTCAAGTGCAAATTGGAAAACTTATACAGAAACTCTAAGAAAGCGTTTCAGCCAAAAGCAGTTGCATCGTTATTAAAGGCGCTGCTGCATGAGCGTTCTGTCACACTTAAAGAGCTAGTCACCCCCAAATCAACTTATTTTTTTCTGATAAACTATATAAATGCATGTCTAATCATGCTGCCGACACGTACAGTCGATAGTTTTGCACTTTAGTGCATTTTAGTTAAAATTTTTATTTTCTGCCTAAAACTGTCAGTGTTGTGCCGTTGTCAGGTAAGAACTCTGCACTGCATTTGAAATTAAATCTGCCATCGCTATTGGCTAAGAGGTACCCTAGAACGTTAGCTGGTACCATATGATGTCACAATGTTGTTGTGAGCCTGTGTGTGTGTGTGTGTGTGTGTGTGTGTGTGTGTGTGTGTGTGTGAGTGTGTGTGTGTGTGTGTGTGTGTGTGTGTGTGTTTGATAGTGGCTCCGCCCTCTTGGTCTGCTAAGCAACAGTATTTGTTGAAATTTTCAAACAGGAAGTGGGAGTAGAATAATGTTCTGGTAGGGGGTGACTTGCTCTTTAAGTGAACAAAGTGTCCCCACAGGCAGCTGGAGAAAGCCCCACCCCTTTTTGGATGTCATAAAGTTGGACTTTACATGACAAAACTGGCATTTTGACATATTTCATGGTGTTCAGACAAGTTTGAGTTTTTCCATCTCACTGCCCAACTGAGAATGAAGGGTCTTTGGAACCATATACTCCATGAAAAACGTTGTAGAAACATAAACATTTGTCTGGGGGACAGATGAGGATCTCAGACTTGTCTTCATTAGGCTGTAGAAAGATCCCAGATATCCAGGTTTCAATAGAGTCTTAGCAGGTGTGTAACAGCTGCAGCTTAGACATCTCATGGGGCTTAAAGGAGATGTAGCTGGGTGTCTTCTGTATAAAGATGGTAGCAGATTCTTTTAAAGATCAACTTTAAACATATTTTTATTACAATTACAGTTGTCTCTAGTAGGAATTAATGCCTTGTAAGATGTACTCATGGGGAAAAAAAGCTCCAGTATGCCTGTTTCAGGAAGTAGAAATGACCCAGAGTGTCAGACGGCAAGGTTTGAGTGTTATTTCTTGATATTTGGACATGTTGCCTGTTATTGGCTAAAAGCAACATGACTCTACCGCTGACTGTTTGCTCTGCAACACTGATATTGTATTTTCACAAAAATGTGAGTTCTGCCATGTGGTGGAGTTGCTAATGCTAACAGTTAGCTTCTACTAGCCGAGACTTTCTCTGCTGTTTCGTTGGATGCTAAACCAACAACAGCCTTCACAGTTGCAAGACAAGATGGGTGAGTCCATGAACGTTAAAGGACTGTGTGACATAGATCTGTCGGGCTTTTCAAATCCAAGAATTTCATCACCTATTTTCTATCAGATCCCAACGCAAGAGATATATATGTAGAAGACTATTTTCATGTTCTGTCTGAATGACAAATTAATAATAATTAAAAGTGGTTTTCCAGTGAAGTTGACCTTTAAATGAGCTCAGGGTGTGCTGAGGGAGCAGATAAAGGAAGAACAATAGAAGCTCCAAATATAGAACCTTGAGGGACACCATGGGTGAGGGAGGTGGAAGAGGACTGAAGCTTGGAAACAGCCACAGAGAAGGAATCCTCAGACAGATAAGGGGAAACCCACTCCAATGCAGTTCCTGATAGGCTGGGTTGGAGTCGGAGCATGCAGAAATAAAGCTGAAGGAGAGATGCTAGATTTAACCTTTGACCTAGTTTTCACAGTTTCCATGAGAGCGAATGGGTAGCTGATGGTGCTAAACAACACTGTGGGATTCCCTTTGCAGTGGGACACCAAGTCAGAAAAATACACAGATGATTCAAATATGTGGTTTCTATGACGACCTTAATGAGCCACTAGCTAAAGCTTTGACATTTCTTGTGATCTTGATCTTCTTTACATCGTTTCAGGTCAGAATGTTGCACAAATTTCTAGAAGCAACTTAATTAACAGAATTTAATCAATGTTTTACAATATTTATTTTTAATTAAAGGCTTGGTCTGTTGCTCCTGTCAGTACACAGGAAACAAAATAACAACATAAAGAAAACAATTACTGGATCGGCTCATTGAAGTTATTTTGTGAGGAATCCTCGCTGTGCAGCGTTTAGAAGGTGCTCTCAGTTAGCATAAAGGAGTTTGAGAGAAGACACTTAGAAAGGAAAAAAGAGCCAGAAGAAAAAAAACATCACAGTAGGGAGCTGTTTATATGTGTTTGGGAGATTTTCTACATGCTGAACTGTTTGTTCTTTTGTTTTCTTTTTTTTTAAATAATATATGACATTTAAATTATATGCTGTTGCAAAACCGTGTGCACAATTATCATGGGATTGAAAGCCGTGTCCAGAGGTTTCCATCAGTTCAAAACAAGAGAATCTGAGCTAAATGCACACTGGTTCTGTTTGGTAGCATCACTGATGAGGACTTTGAGATTTAGTCGACTAAAAATGATTAACACCAAAAAGCATTTTTGTCCAAAAGCCTAAAAACACCTAAATCAACTCTGTCTTGTAGCTCCTCTGGTGCATTTAGCGGTCGAGACCTGCAGCAAATTTTCTGTATTCCTGTTAAAATGATAATATCAGGACTGATGGTTGTGTAAAGGTTTCTAAAATATCCTGGCACATTACAGCATCTCATACAGATTGCTGATGTTTCCTTAAAACCCCTTAAGCCCTAGGGTCCCCCAGGTGGGGGGACCATGTGACGTTAGTTCCTTAACAGGCCCAAAACAACCCTCACACTACAGGTAGTAATAATTCCCATCAAATGAATCAGCAAACCCAGCTCTACAAACTAAACTGTTTTTCCCATTAAATACCATTGTTTACCATTTTTCGAGGAATAGGCTTCAAAATAAGCCTAGGGTTTAAGGGGACAGCTTAAATCTAATTTTTTTTTACCCTTTGATGGTCACCACAGTGGACAGGTACTTTTTTGCTAGTAAGCTGCAGCTGTTGAAGACTTTATTGCATTTGAGCCCCTCCATTTGGACTTCAGTAAGTCAAGCCAACAGATTTCATGTTCAGAACGCACGCTGCCCACTGAGGTGGAAAATATTAGACGTGTTTCCACTGCAAGAACTTCAGGGTAGATTTACAGGAACCTCCCGACTTGCGCGTGTCTCCACCTGACCGAGCTTTCGGGCCGTTTTCAGGAACCTTCGGAGTACCTGCTCTGGAGTCTAAATGGCCCGGTGGAGCAGCTGAGCAGAACCTCCGGTTAACTCACGCTGATTGGTTGCAACTCAGTAGGAAATGACATCAGCAGACGTCCACAACAACCAGCAGCAGTAAAATTATAGGAGTTGCTGGTGAAGCAGAACAGAAGCAAATATAAGCACAGATTGCATTTAAAATCGAACTCCCGACCAGAAAACTCAATGGATTTCCCACACAGCCTTTATTAATGGGGCTTGTCTCACAGAACTCAGAGCTGCTCTTGTCCTCTGACTGGATTAAATTATGATACTTCTATAAAATAAATGTTTTTATTATTATTAATGTTTCTTTGGATGCTGTTTGGGGCTGATCAGTGACATCACTCACTGCCAAAGCAGTATGCTAGCATCTGTGCAAGTTCTGAAAGGGCTGGATTTGAACGAAGACACAACAGCTGAGAGGGCTGGAGCATCCCATCTCCTGGTCAAGTTCCCCATCCCAGGAGCTACCCTGGAGCTCTGGTAATGGAAACATGCCCAGTATTATTTATGACTTTTACACAAAAACACTGACAAAATTGCTGAAAAATCACCTCAAATGAATTAAATTGTGTCGGATTTCCTTCCCAATTTTTTTTTAGTTTTTCTTTTTTATTTCACTTATTATAATTGTATGGGAAAGAAATAAAAAACTAGATAAAATTTGTTTTATGATACAGAAATATTTGATTGACTCATTAGTGACACTTGCATCAATCATCTTCCAGTCAAAAGCTTCAAAGAAAGGAGACCTGCTTATTTCAACGTCTCAGTAACAGAAAAAAGAAAGTAAATTCATGAGTTTCACATGAAAGATGAAAAGAGTCTTGCTGCTCACCAGGTGTGTGCTGTCTGTTGAGTTCTCAGGGCATAAAGGTCAACGTGTCTCACTCTGACTCGGATCTGGTCATCAGCCTTTGGACTCCTGTTCAGGTTGACATGCGGCCCATCCTGAAGGAAGACAGGTTATCTCACCTTCAGGTCATTCATTGTAAAGTTTTAAAATCATTTCTCATTTTCTGAATTCAGTCAAACCAAAAACAGCAAATCTGTAAGTGCTTCTGACCGAAGAATAACCCCAGAAGTCTCCTGGGTTTTTTCTTCCAGGTCATGTGACCTGTGGCTCTCAGCCTGCCTTTAAAAATAAGAAGCCACCTGACGTCTGACCAGTGGATCTGAAATTAAAAAGGAGATGAGGCCATGCCTGATTTCATTAACTGCTGCACTGATTTAAAAATAAGATGAAAGCGAGAAAGAATGAGTTTTCTAAACCATATTTTAAATAACAAGTCAGAGTCATTAAACCTGACTCACTTGGTTGCACGCGTTCAGCTCAGGTGTTTGAAGCCAAAGGAAGTTTGACAGCTGGGCTCTGAGGATCTGTTAGAGAGAGATCAGAGTTAATAATGCTCCAAAGGTGCTGCTGAATATTGTAAAGCACCTGATGTTAGAAACAATTGTAATATAGTCGTGTTACACGAATTAAAGACTCAAAAAGATTAAAGAGGCCACACATGAGAGGAAAGGATGTTTCTTACGTTGTGCAGCTGAGATGTTTGCTGTCAGATCTCCTGGTGAGGACCTCCTGCAACTCAGGAAACATTTTATTAAAAAACAAAAGAAACGGAGGTGTTTTAGTGAGAAAAGAGCACCCCCTGTTGCCGTCTGTTTGAGTCACAGTGATGCACCTCTACAAACCAATCATCATTCTGTCTGTTTTAAAAGGAAGTGCTGCCCCCTGCTGGTGGTGTGGAGGAACAGTGTTCAGTTATTTTTGTCCTCTTCAGTTCTGGCTTTTTAAAATAACCTCATTACATTGATCATTTTGATTCTGACAAACATGAAATATTTGTAAAACTTTGCTAAAAAATTCTCAAAAACTTATTTTGAGATCTGTTGGATCCTCCTTTACGTTTTATTCTTCTGCATTTAACTCAAATTGAATTGTTCATATCATTTCTGTCTATGACCTGTATTGTATTTTTATCTACCCTTAATATTTAATGTTTGCATTCTTCTATTCTCTTCTTTTATTCTTCTCAACCAGTTTCCAGCAGTGCCTCATGACTAGACTAAACTTGACTCGATTGTTGTCTCAAGTTTCTGCTCAATAAATCTTTGGGGACATAACAGGTTAGGGCAAATAAACCCTTTGACACAAAAAAAACACTTATAAAAGTTTTAATGGCCAACAGAATATGTACGCTTATAACAAGAAAAAAATTACTTGACTTAAAAAATATATATAAATATTTTTTCTGCCTTTTTAATCAATTCATTGTTGTTGAACGAAACAAAATGTCAGTATTTTATTTACTTTGTGGACATGATGGAGATGCTAACTGTTCTTTCAAATGTTGTCTTTATATTATATTTGAATTTGAATGTATTTATTTGAACGGGACAATGCATGTTAATGAACGTACAAGACATAAATATACCAGAATTAGCAGAGCTAGTTTCCTTCTGTAGTCCCATGTACTTAAGGCACAGACATTACAATTTAAAACAAGGTAATTAAAAAAAAATTAAATAAAAATAAAAAAACATACAAAGAATTAAAAACAAAGACAGCTAAAATATGTGAATAACATAACTCCTTATCAGAATCAGAATAGGTTTATTGCAATTGTCAGTGAACAAACAATTCACAAACTAGGAACTTGCTTTGGTACTAATGTGCTGCATATAACATGAATAATAAGATTAAAAATATAATAAACTAGAATAAAACTTTCAGCTATAAAAAGGCAGGTAATGGTAACATGGCCGATAACGTGACGCTGTGTCGAGTACAGAAGACCAGCATGGTTGCGTGTTTATAAGCTGTTCACAAGTCCAGCGACAGATGGAAAGAAGCTGTTCTTATGGCGGGAGGTTCTGGTCCGGATGGACCGTAACCTCCTGCCTGAGGGAAGCGGCTCAAAAAGTCTGTGTCCCGGGTGAGAAGGGTCAGCTGCTATCCGACCTGCATGCCTCCGAGTCCTGGAGACGTACAGGTCCTGGAGAGATGGAAGGCTGCAGCCAATCACCTTCTCAGCGGAGCGCACAATGCGCTGCAGTCTGTGTTTGTCCCTCACCGTGGCTCCAGCGTACCACACAGCGATGGAGGAGGTGAGGATGGACTCGATGATGGCCGTGTAAAACTGCACCATCATCTGGGCCGGCAGCTTGGCCTTTTTCAACTGCCGCAGAAAGTACATCCTCTGCTGGGCCTTTCTGATCAGGGAGCTGAAGGATGGCTCCCACCTAAGGTCATGTGTGATGGTGGTTCCGAGGAAGCGGAAGGAGTCCACAGTGGTGACGGGGGTGTCCGTCAGGACGAGGGGGAGAGATGGAGCTGTGACTTTCCTGAAGTCCACAATCATCTCCACTGTCTTCTGAGCATTGAGCTCCAGGTTGTTGCTGCTGCACCAGTACACCAGCCGTTCCACCTCCCTCCTGTAGGCGGACTCATCACCGTCAGAGATGAGCCCGATGAGGGTGGTGTCGTCCGCAAACTCGATCAGTTTAACGGAGTCATGGCTCGAGGTGCAGCAGTTTGTGTACAGGGAGAAGAGCAGAGGAGACAGTACACAGCCCTGTGGAGATCCTGTGCTAATTATTATAAAATTAAAATCACCTCCAAGTATAAGTGGACCAAGTGTTCGGAGAGTACAGAGAAAAAATTATGAAAGAATGAAGGGTCATCAATATTTGGACAGTATATGCTGACGATACGCAAGCTTTGGTTCTGTACAGATATTTTTGGTATTATAAATCTACCCTCTGGATCTGACACTGTGTCTAATATTTTGAAATGGATGTTTTTGTGTATTAAAACAGCTACACCTCTTTGCCTAGAGTCATAGCAGGCAGAGAAGATGCTGGGAAACTCAGGTGTTTTAAGTTCACCTGCATATGTGGCAGATCTGGAGAGACTCATCCTAAAACATCTGCGGCTGCTGGTGGAGCCTTGGTTGGATCCCCTGCAGTTTGCTTATCAACCTCGTATCGGTGTGGAGGATGCCCTCATCTACCTGCTGGACCGGGCATATTCTCATCTGGACATTGCTGGGAGCACTGTGAGGGTCATGTTCTTCGACTTCTCTAGTGCCTTTAACACGATAAGGCCATCACTGCTGGGGAACAAGCTCACGGAAATGCAGGTGGACGCCCCACTAGTAGGTTGGATTACGGACTATTTAACAAGTAGACCACAGCATGTCCGACTGATGAGCTGCCGCTCAGATAACATCCTGAGCAGCACGGGGGCGCCGCAGGGGACAGTCCTATCACCCTTCCTCTTCACCCTTTACACATCTGACTTCAGGTACAAGTCTCAGTCTTGCCATCTGCAGAAATTCTCTGATGACTCTGCCATCGTGGGCTGTATCAGGGATGGTCAGGAGGTGGAGTACAGGAGTGTGGTGGACAGCTTTGTGGAGTAGTGTGAGCTAAACCACCTACAACTTAACATCACAAAGACTAAGGAACTGATCATGGACTTCAGGAAGCAGGCCCACCTCCTACTCCTGTCACTATCAGAGGGGCTGACGTTGTAATCGTTGAGGACTACCGGTACCTGGGTGTACACTTGGACTGTAAACTGGACTGGACCAAGAACACCAATGCCATCTTCAAAAAAGGGCAGAGTCGGCTTTTCCTACTGAGGCGGCTCAGGTCCTTCAATGTTGGGAGGAAAATGGTGACCATGTTCTACCACTCGGTGTTGGAGAGTGTCGTGTTCTCTGCAGCTGTGTGCTGGGGCAGTGGGGTGAAGATAGCTGATGCCAACCGGCTGAACAAGCTGATTAGAAGGGCTGGGTCTGTCCTGGGTGTTAGACTGGAGAACCTGGAGGAGGTGTCTGAGAGGAGAATGCTAAAATAGCTTCTCTCTATCATGGACAACCCCTCCCACCCCATGCACGCCCACATGATGGACCACCGAAGCACACGCAGCAAAAGACTCATTGCCCCGAAATGCAGAACTGACCGCCTCAGGAAATCCTTCGTACCGGTGGCAATAGGACTGTTTAACTCTTCCTCACCCTGTAGGGGATTCTCCAAATACTATTACCTTGGTTATTCTGTGCCCTCACTGACTGTGCAATATTACCCAAGAGTTCTGATTGTAAATATGTTTTTATCCCCCCGTCATATCATATGCTGCTACAAACCCATACTCTTTTACACGATACTTTAATCACTTTGGTGAATCGGCTGCACCGACGGCTTAATTACTCATTCACAAGGATGCAGTCATGTATTTAATTATTGAGATATGCAATTGTTTGTTTTGCACTATCCTACATGGTACTACTGTAGATCTTTTTTTAATGAATATATTGTATATCATATTTCTATTTCACCTGTTCCTTTGTCTCTCCAACTGCTTTGAGCATGTACATGACACAAGAATTTCCCTCGGGATAAATAAAGTTGTTCTCATCTCATCTCATCTCATCTTATCTTATCTTATCTATGGGTCTCTTGTGATTAGAGCTGTAGCAACATCATTCTTGGACCGAAAGTATTCTTGGCTTCAGTTTTCAGGACAGACCATGTTCCTTTCGCTAGCAACATGTCTGTCTGATTCTACACATGGCTGTGTTTGCTTTGACACCCGTAACGCAACCATTCTTGCCTGAATCCTTTTCAGAACCTCCACGTCCGGAACCTCCAGGTCTTTGGACATCTGAACACCTGCTCTTCCAGCATGATCTGGGTGGCAATGTGCATCTTCTTGGTGAGCAGGCTCTTAAGAGCCTAAGAACTGTTGTTTTTTCTGATTTTCCTGTCTCACAGACACGGCATAAGTTTGAGAAACAAAAGGGGGGTGGAAAGCTGCGAGCCTCCTCTCCTCATCTCCAGTTCACTCCTATTTCTGATCGCGAGAACGTCGCCTCTGATAAGCTGATAAACAACCTTGAACAGGTAAAATCAGGGTCTGATCTAACTACTAAACCATTCGCTTCGACCCAGTTCCAAACGGGGCCCACAGGTAAATTCAAACTCGTTTCCCTGTGGGTTCGTAACACCAGATTCAAACCGCTTAGTGACCCAATCGATTCTGACGCTGCACCCACCGAAATGCCTGAGACCGGTTCGTTTTGGGACCAGGAAAGGGGTGAACCTCCCCCTGATATAAGAGCTGTCTCTGATGTTAATTCATGTTTGTCTTGTGATGAATGTGTGTGTGGATGGACATCCCGACTCCAGATCTCACACCGGCTTTATGAGTTTAACGTGTGGTCCGCTGTGGTTCTAATCATCAATCGTTTTCGGAACGTGACACCTGACAGGACACTTTTCCACTACCTGGTGGATCGTTACAAATTCACTCGATTCTTTGTTGGATGAGTTTTTAACAGTTGTGATATCCTTTGAGTTTTTTTTTTCAGGTTTCCTGCCTTCAGCCAGGGTCCTGTTACTAACTCACATTTTTAGGGACTACTAATCTGCTGATTTACATTTTAGTACTGATTTACATCTCTATCTTTTAATAGTGCTTTGTGTAGAGTGATTATGTTTGAATTCAGGGTTTAACTTGTTAAAATTTCCCTTAAAGGGCTACAAGCCAATTTGCCCTTCGTATTATTATTT